CAAACAATCTATCTAACAAGAAAAAAAAAATACCATTATTTTGAGAATTTAATCAATGAGTGTATTATTTTGATCGATTGATTTTTAACAATTTGATATTGATCATATCTTCTTTGGCTAAATTAATCTCATTGTAAAATGATCATTTGAGTCAAATTGAAAATGTTAAATTAAGCAAGAAGTTAGTCACTCAGAATAGTTCCATTAATTTTAGGCCTTCCATCACATTCATATCATTGGGCTTTGATATTAGCAATGTTGGTTGACGGCAGTGGCTAAAATGTAATATTCTCACGGGAATGTATTAAGCACATTCCATCGTTCTCATTCTAAATTCACCGTCTTTTTTTTTTCGTTCTTTAAATGTTCTTTACAAATATATAAAATATGCCAATCACACTTTTCTTACACTCTCTAAAACTTTGATTAATGTAATATTTTCCTGTCAATTTTTCAAATCAATAATCTCTTCTTTAAAAAAAAAAGAAAAAAAAAAACTTCACATTTGCATTTCAGTGATTTTTGTTTGCTTTTTCATAATAAATGTTTAATTCACTTATTAGCATGTGAATATTTTATCATTTCAAATTTATAATAAATTCAATTTTTTGCACATACTCTCTTAATGAAAAAGAAAATTGGTGAAATGTGTTACAAATTTACTTCAATTTTTTCGAAATTTATAATTTCCTTATAAATTTTTATTATACAATAGAGGAGTTTGATTAAGTGAAAATACTTATGAATTCGTAGACGAGATTTCTCGTAATAAAATTTTCAATTAAGTTAATTAATTTGAATTTTAATGCGAAAAAAAAAAACTTAAAACAATGTTAGAAAATGTTGCAGTGGTAATAAATTGTTTTTGTATTTTAACATTGTTGATTTATTTGCTTAAAAATGATAAAATCAAAGATCTCTACAATTATATTTGTATCTTTGTATTAATTTTTGCTATTAGATAAACTAATTTAGTCTATTTTAGAATCGAAATTTAACTATCATATGATTCATCGTTACTGAAAGTTCATCACATTCTCAGGAATGTAAATTTTTCGCATGGATGCTATTTACTGCTACTTTAAATTGATTTGTAAAAAAGAAAAATGAATGCAAGTATTATCATTTTGAGGAAACAGTTTATTGTTGGGTAATTAAATTGACCTACAAATTCTCTAAATTAAAATTTACAATGTAATAATATTTATTTTGCATGCATTCTTTCGTGCAGCATTTGTGAATGCATCTATAATTTTACGCTCGAAAGTTGACAATACCAACTGCTCTTAGCAAAAACATCGCAAAAATATTTTCCAACTGTCAAATTACAATTTGATGAGTTTTAAACGTAAATTATTATCATTCTGTTGGTGCAACATTTAATTGTAAATGTTGCAACATCAAAATGATAATAATTATCTTTTTTAACTCATTGTGATGTGATAATTTTGACATATCATTTGAAATCGATATTTCAATTTGCCTTCTCGTCCTGCATGTATGTCTAAATTCGGGAGTGTACATTTATCGCAGACTATCTGTTTAAATTGTGATCGAAATTCCTTATCATTTTATTTCATCTCTATTAAATTTAACATATCAATTAATTATCTTGCTTTGGTTATTTAAATAAATTTTTAGCCGAATTCTACTTTTTTTTAAAGTTAATTTCATTACACTCAATAAAAAACTGAATTCTACTGTTTTTAAGTTAATTTCATTACAATCAATAAAATGTTTTCAGATGTTTCTTTTCTTAATCTTTTTCTTCATTCTCTTTTGAAAAAAAAATTTCAAAATTTTTTGCATTTGGAGTTTTAGATGAATTAATTATACCATTATTTTCAAATGCTTAATTTTAGCGCTAATATGAATGAGAAGAAAATGGATTTGTGCGTTTTGAGAACGTAAAAAAACTGAAATACTGCATGAAAAAAGTGTAAAAATAATTCATAAATGGCTAAATTTTAAATTTCAATAAATTTACATATTCCTTGCACGCAAATGAGGTTTCTTGTCGTTCTAACTTTTAAACAATTTTAATTATTGAGTAAGCAATTTAAGGAATTCATTCGATATTGCGGAAAGGTCGCTTTTTTTTCTCTTCTGAAAATCTTTATGGAGAGAGCTGAAATTTAGAATGAAAACTAGAATTTTTTTGTTCTTTGCTTCATGATATTTATTTACTTGTTTTATTTTGTCATTTCAAGATTTGATTTAAGTTTTTCAAAATTTAATTTTAAAAAGTCTTACTGTGAATAGCATAACAATGAATTTAGTTCAGCTTGCATTTATGCAATCGATAGAATTAATGGTATGGAAAGAGGTTTTAAAACAAACAAACACTTCTTCAACAAATTCATTTTTATACTTTTAGCAAATTTCCTCATATTCAATTTTAATGAGGACAATTTGACAAACGAAAAGGGAGGGGTTTGAGCATTTCCGAAGATAAATCTCTTACTAAAATGAAATTCACTCAAAAATGATCTCTTCTACATTTAAAGAGAAAAAAATGAATAGAAGAATTTATCAAAATTCAAATTCAAAAGTTAAACTTTTAATTCATTTCAATATTTAATTCAATTTTCATCTTTTTTTGGCTCATTCAACTTCATAAATATCATTAATGTCATTACAAAAAATTTTATAGAAATTTCCGGTTTGCTTTTTTAGAGATTAAAATGTACATAATGCCTCAAAAGTCGATTAATAATCCATCAACAAATATTATGCTAACAAATTTTTGTATGAATTATTCATTCTGGTAAAATTTGAATTCAATTACTGCTAATGAATTGTTGAGAATAAATGGAAAAATCAATTATTATTAATAATTTTTTAAAGATAAATGAAAAAATCAATTATTGTTAATGATTTTTTAAAAAAATTTTTATTTTCCAACTATCTGTTCGCAATTATTAGATTGTTTATTAACCAACGCAGCACAGTAATTGATGAAATTTTGACGTCAAAAATTAAATTTCACATCTGTATTATCAATTTATGAATGTAATGTAGCACAATAATGTCTCTCGCCCTAATTTTACCACTTTTCCCACTTTTGGGTAAATAATTTCTCATCTATTAATTTCCCACCTATTTTTTTTTTCTTTAAATAATTCAAAAAATCTCCCACTAAATTTCACTATTAATTCGTTAAATGATGGTAAATTCGCAAAGAATTCCGCTTCCATTCATTGTAATTGCAAACATTCATTAATTTTTTATTAAAGTTTAATGTGCAAATTGCATGCAATGCTTGTCAATAATGGGAAAACCGAATAGTAAACTCAGAAGGGATCAAGTAAAAGCACTTGCAAAACAAACTTATTGTTAGTTTTTTTTTTCTTAAATCATTTTCCTACTATTTGATATGTTAACTTGAAATTGATAATTCCTTCAAAAATTTTTATACGTAATATTTTAAATTAATAGTAAAATTTATTAATCATTTTTTATAACTATCTATTGAAAAGTATAAATTCATCATTTGGAAAAAAAAAAGCTGTTCACTAATTTTTTTTTCAGTTACTGAGAAAGAAATCAAGCAATGGCAAGTTTATGCTTTTAAATTTTATCATATTTGTTATCAAATTGTTATATTTTTAAATGTCAACGAATGCCACCATCAAAAGAAATAACTACGAGAAGAAGTTTTTAATTGCTTAGAAAAAAAAAAAAAAAAAGAAAAAACTTCTCATAGTCATTTATTTCAGTGGTGACAATCGTTGTTTGAATCTTTTAATAAGTAACATACAATAATTTATCATTTAATACTTTCCTATGTTTCTCATATGAATGGAGAATTTTTTTTTTAATTCGCAAAATAATTAAATTTATATAATCTATTAATTTATTCAGTGTAAAATATTTTTTAGGCATAAAGGATTTGTTCGCGACTGTCCCAATGGCATGCTCACTGAAGCTGTAAGTCTTTTGACTGAAAAAAAAAAAAGTACTTATCAAATTAGAATTGATAGAGAAATATGTCGTTGCATCGAAAATTTTTTCTCTTTTAAATTTTATTTGATTATTAGTAAAAATGATCCAAATGTGATTTGCTTCAAAATAAATAACCAATTTGCAAATTCTAGCAATAATATATTTTTAGCATTTTAGCAACTAAAAATTTTAGCACAATACATAGACAATTTAGCAACAAAAAAAGAAAACTAAAAAATTGGGATAATTTTTCAAATTTATTGCATAAAATGAAAATTGATACGGTCGAGAGTGAA